GGGGGGGTCAGGGCCCCCCGTGGCCCGGGGGTGCCGGTGTGGCCTGGCATTGGGGCTGGACACACACACACACACGGGGCTGGGGGCCGGCAGCGCTGACGCGTCCGGACGTCAGGTTACAGGAGGCACCACGGCTGCTCCCTCGGGGCTTGCTGGGTGCCATGGGGTGCAGGGGACCCCCGGCGGGGTGGGGGTCACCGTCTCTTCTTCCTGCCCCGGCGGCCTTTGCACTGGGGCGGGGAGAGCGGCACCAGCTGCCAAGTCCCTCCCGGGACAGCCGGGAGGGTGCCCGGGCCGCCTGGGTGCCGGCGGTGGTGGGGGGCTGCGGGCTCCCCTGGGCAGGGCAGTGGGCCGGAGCGTCAGCGGCGTGGGGTGGGGGACGACGACGCAGGAGCTGCTCCCTGCCCTCCCCGGTAGGTGTTTGTGGCGTGCACCGGGACCCGGCGCCACCGGCAGGAACAGGTTTGGCCGGCCGGGGGAAGCGCTTAGTAGGTCAGCCGGGGTGGAGCCGGGCACGGCTGACGCCGGGTGCCGCCGGCCCACCCAGCCCCCTGGAATTGGTGGTGGCCTGGGTGCTGGCGGCAGGTCACGGGCACCGGTGCCTGCTTGTGTGGGGTGCCCAGCAGCGCTCTGCGGGGTCACCTTGGGGCAGGGGGTCAGTCCTGCCGGTGGGCACGGCTGGGTTTGGGGCACAACGGGGGGCTTTGCTCCGCAGGGTGCGGAGACCTGCCCGGGCCGGGTGGCCTGGCAGCGCTCACCCCGTCCCCGTGCCCCAGTGGGGCAGGAGGGGGTGGCTGGGTGTCTGCGCCCTGGCGTGATGCCGTCCGTGGGGCAGGGCTGGTGTCTGGCTTTACGCTGAGGGGCTGGAAACGCCACATTTTCAGGGCTGACATAGTTAGGAGACAGATGCCTGGGGTGCTGCCCGCCTCCGCCTTACGCCCGCTGTCCCTGTCCCCGCAGATAGCGAGGGGATCCTTATGCACAACCCCATGAAATGAACAAAGCTCCACAGCCCACAGGAGGAGCCCCGACAGCCCCGCACCCTGCCCCTTCTCCCGGACTGCCGCAGGTAACTGGCTCTGTCGGGGTGGGGGAGACCCAGCTTTGCCCCCCCACGCCCCCCAGTTCATGCCGGGGGGCGACGGTGCCATCTCCTTCCCTCCCTGCCTCCCTCCAGCCGACATTCCCACCCGGTCAGACGGCACCTGTGGTTTTTAACCCGGCACCGACCTCACAAATGAATACGCCTTCTCAGCCGCGCCAGGTAAGGGCTTTGCCCCGGGTTGGAGGGGGCGATGCGGGGGGATCCAGCAGCTTTCTGCCTCCTGGCCAAGTAGCCCCCACCGCCATGGTGCCCAGGGGTGCAAGGAGCCCTGTGGTGCCCGTCGGGGCTTGCGTGCCCCTGCGAGGGGGAGTGTGCCCGTGATCCGGACCACGATGGCTGCCTGGGGACCTCCTGGCCCTGGGATGAGGGGGCAGATGCCTCCAGCCGGGGATGCCCACCGAGTGACTGCTCTTCTCTCCTTCCTCCCCTGCCCCAAACCTCCCTCTTCTCCTCTCTCAGTTTCCAGCAGGGCCTCGGGCTATTCACCAGCAGGTACTAACCCGCTTCCACCACTCCGCATGCCGAGCACCCTGCCCTGACACTGCACAGAAACACCCACCCTGGGCATGAAGGGGCCAGGGAGCACGTGGGGACCCCAGAGCTGGGGGACGGGCTGGTCTGGGGAAGGTGGGGGACACCTGCTTGACTTTGAGGGGGGGGTTTCCTTGCAGTGTCTCCCCAGTTTCCTCCTTGCATGAAGCCTGCAGCATGTGGCTGTGCCTGTGCTAACCCCAGCCCAGGCTGCTGCTTCTGCCTGTGCCCTTCCTCATCCTCCTCTTCCTCTTCCTCCCCACTTTGTGGGGGTCTCCCAAGGCCCAGTGGTGCAGAGCAAGGCTCTGGACCTCCCTCAGCCCTCTTGTGTGGAGGAGCTGCTGAGGACAGGTCTGGTGATGTCCTTGGTTCTGCTGGCTGGGAGCCCCTCAAACCCTTCCCTGCACTTTGGGGGTCCCTACAGGGGACCCTGGTGGATTTGGGATGTGCGCACTGGGCAAAGGGCTCCCCAGCCTCCTTGTCCCCTCCTCTGCCAGCCACCCGGCGTCCAAGCCCTGTCCCAATGCGGGTAACTCCTGTCTCTCTCTTTCCCCTTTTCCTTCTGTACGCGTGCGCTTGCTAACAGGGAGGATTCAGGTCTCTTCAGGTAACGCTTTCTCCTTGCACCGGGGTGTGTGCGCGGACCCTTTCATGCCCGCTTGCTGCTGGGCTTGAGCTGCTGCTCCCGGGGATGCTCCTGCCTGGCAAAGAAGCCGGGTCGGGATGAATGTCACGGGCCGGTGGGGGAATAGCTGGCTCCGCATACCCTGGCTGTCCGGCTCTGGCGCGGTTCAGCGCGGCGGGACTACAGGTCCCAGCATTCAATGCGAGCGCCGGGAACCGGTGTAAAGCACGCCGGGACCCGCCACCGCCGAGCTGCGTGCGGCCGTGGCCGGCTCCGGGCGCTGGAGCTGCCGGCCCCCATCGGGCTGGGAGGGGGCTGTGCCGGGCATGAGCTGGGTCGGGTGGACCCAGGCGGCCCCGCAGGTGCGTGGGGACAGGACGGTGCCGGGGTGGGGGG